ATAGGGATGGTATAGGGTGGTATGGGGTGGTATGGGGTGGTATGGGGTGTTATGGGGTGGTATGGGGTGGTTTTGGGTAATGACCCTAATCCAAGACCCACGGTAATGACCGTTCCCGCAAGTGATTTTTCGAGTCGTGCTTAAAATGGAAAATATGTGTCTCAAAACTGCCAAAGTACTGTTCAATGGGTAAAGACACCGGCTTCTCTTCGTCCCCCATATCTGAAGGTGCCTTCGAGCTGAAATCCGAACCCCCTGACTATAAACCAAATGCCACGGTCAATGTCAACCTTCGGTAACGACCGACAATCGGTAATGACCGAAATATGAAAAGCAAAACCCAAGAATCTTCAGTATATATACAGGATGTGGTATGTGCACATTGACAAATACGTTTCATATTTAGACCAAAAGAAATACAATATATATGTATCCAGAAAACGTGCGGCTACATAGATATCATAATTTCGTAGTTTCAAACAAGAATTTTACGGCTTTATGCATGCAAATTTCCACACGCTGCAAGTGCTGCCAAAGCAGTCTCCAAACGTGGTCCTTGTAAATCTTTGTAAATTCTCTGTAAGTCCTTTTTCAGACTTACATAACTTTCGCAAGTATGACTTATAAGTATTTACAAATCAAAAAGTGACACCTAAGTAGGCCCTGAGCAATATCCAACGTCAGGGCAACAGCAGTTGAAGGTGAGGGTCAACATCAAGTCCATCATACGTATTGCTCATTGTAATTCATCATCAAGCACAGCTGCCAAGCTGCCAGGTGCCCGAGTCAACGATGATCGAATTTAAATGGACGATGGTTGATACGAGCCTCCCTGGAAAGTATTCTTGCTTAGGTTTCCACTGTTGCAGGGGCTAGTGCACAATTTGTCTATGAACTAATCAAAGCCTGCAAAGGCACTAAACTCACCCAAGCGGGATGTTCAAACCAGGTGTGAGCCTGTGCTTGCCACTTATAATCATGAAGTTGTACGTTTGGGGTCAGCGTAATTTTGTCATGTTTGCCGACCCTGCATCAGTCTCGCCGGAAATTGCCAACAACAGAATCTAACCTGTACAGGTGTGTTCAATATTGGCTGAATACAGCAGCCACTAAGCAACATTTCCATCCAAGAAATAAGGTGACATCCTTGACCTTTGACCGCTTGCCTTTGGACCGCTTGACAAGGAAGTATGTGGAAGTATTTATTTATAGGTCGTTTGGCCTCATCCCCTGAGTTCTCAGGTCAGATGAAGCTCGAGCAAAAAGAAGAAGCCAAGATGCCACAGTTTGTGTGTGGTTTGTTTGCCGGAAGCAGACAGACATTCATTCCATTTCATTCACACATGCTTTCTTTTGACACGGTCTCAAGTCACACTTGTTGGGGTTGTTTGCAGAAAACAACATCCTCAAGCACGCCAAAGGTTCACCGACTCCTGCAGGGGAAGCAAGCACATACACTCACATTCTGAAAGAGAGAGAGAGAGAGAAACAGAAAGATATGCGCTGCGTTGCTTGAACATGGAGCCTACCTTTTTCTGTGCAGGCCACGATTGCCAGACGAACAATAAAGAAACACCCATGATCCTGCTCTCCTGAGATAGTTTTCGTAGCCGCTCTCTTGCAAGTCAGACAAGTTAGACTTCAGCCTCCATGCGATGAACTTGTCGCTGCAGTCAGCAGAGCGCCCCAAGATACGGGTTCAGTGTCAAGTGGTTTTAGGTGAGTCAAGACGGAAGATGCTTCTATAGATCCAACGGACACCACAAGCAGCTGAAGTGACAAAGTGAGAAGTTTCAGAAGGAGGACAATCTTCAACTACCTCGGTTTCGTAGAGCACCCAAGCTCCAAACCTTCATCCCAGCTTCGCAGGTTGAAGGATTTCTCACCAACGCTGACGCTGGTTCCGCACAAGTGTCCATTGGTCAACCTCAAAACCGACCAGGGCTGCTCCTTGACCTGCGACCAGGGTTGCTACCCGCGCTGGGTCCGACTCGGCGGCTGAAGGCGTCGCGTGCCACATGCGACACTTGCGTTTGAACGGATGGCAGAGCGGATCGCAGGGCCGATTGCGGCCCAACGGCGAGGTTTTCATTGGCCGGTGTGAAGGTTGGATGCGTCGCGCTCGTGCTTAGTGTTTCTTTGTTGTGGCTACAAAGCAGGTCCTGGAGGGGCCAATTGGCCTTGACCAAGCTTACAAATTAGTCTAGCCTCATAGCAGTCTCACTCACTCACTCATTCACTCAGAATGGCGCAATTCGACGTGAGGCCACCTCCCTCGCGTTGGCCCTTACAGCTCTGAGGGCATCATGTTGACTGTTGATGAACAAGCCTTCCTGTGGAGATGTAAAGGCATGCTGGTAAGGGTGGTTTTATGCAGTTGGATGGCATTCTAAGCTCCCCTTCGCTGAAGTTGTAACATGTTAACCATAACAAACCTCTCGCACTGCCTAGATCGAGGCCGACGCGCAAGAGAATGTTCCAGTCAGGTTCAGCTTTGCGGAATCCGCTGCCGGCCGGAGTGAGGAACCATTGACAAATCATGTGCTTCAGGGAGTTTGAAAGAACGACTCGAAGAGAAGTCGCTCCTGCTAGTTGCTTACCGAGATAGAGTTGTATAATTCCGTCATGCCACACCATATTCATGCAATTTCATGCAATACTGCATTGACCTTTTGTAGTTTGGATTGAGGGAAGCACTCAGATTGCCTTCGATAAGGTTTCAAAGCCGCATTAGCACGCAAGAAGGCAACGATGGGCTTCCAGCTCCAAGACAAGCGCGACTTGTGACAGCAAAGAGTTTGTTGAAGCATCGACCGGCACTGGCTTTGCTTGCCATCACTTTAGAGCCCAAGCAAATATGCCGCTGCGCCATACTGTGCCTCATTTCAAGAGCTGCTGCGCAACTGTTGATGTCAATCACGGTGTTCGACCGGGATGATGTAAAAAGGGGGTTCTGGAATTTGAGGGAGTTCTGAGGAGGCGGTCATTGGGATGACTTTTGTATTGGCGAGCTTGTGCTATTTCACCTCAGTTGTTGGTTTTCCCTTTGCGAACGACCCATTCCGCCGGTGCGATCGGGCGGCTCCATGGGATTTTTGTTCAACAAGTCCGAAGGGTCCGAAGTGCGAGTGGTTCCGTGTTTCGGCACGGTTCGGCGGGAGAGTCACGAGAGACGAGGTGAAGACGCTCAAAGCTGGAATTCCAAAACATGTCATTGAGGAGCTATGTTTAATGGTTTTTCAATTTTGTTTTTGAAGGGCTTGATTTGGGTATGGAGAGAGAATAGATGAAGACAGGTTCTCCGGCCTATTCTGAATCTCTCTTCTTTTGGTTTACAGCCTTACTCACACTTTCGTTCAGAGCCTCCTTGCTTCACAGCCTTGCTCAGGCTCAGCTGCTTCTGGTACTGCGCTCAGCCCTCGCACAGGCTCTTGGCTCTCCTTCTGAACCTCTTGTGGAGAACGGGTTTTTTGAAGGAGATGATTGTGTTCCTGGATTGGAGGTCCCTTTCCCCTCAACGTTTCATTTTTCGCCTGGGCCGGTGTCCCTTTTGATGGAGGTGGCTTGCTTGGGTTTTGGGCTTTTAGGAACTGTGGTCTCTGGACTTTGCTTTGCTCTTTTTCTCCTTGGCTTGGGCTGGGTCAGGCTGGGTCCCGAGCTTAGGCCCTGGATGCTAGGCGGAGGGACGCCGTAACTGGGGCGCTGGACAAGACTCGCGCTGGATAAGACTCAGAGAGGACAAGCCCAGAGATGGTGAAACCAAAAACTTTTTGTGGTTATTTTGTTCACTAGAAACAAGATGCTTTATAAGTGCAGACTGGAGAACAGGAGATCTATGAACAGTATGTATGTTTGTGAAACTGTTGTTGTCCAACTGGCAGTTGTTTGTTGACATGTTGTCCAGTCTTCCTCCCGCTGTGAGCAACCATGTTTCACCTGCTAGTCTTGACCATTTGTGTGTTCTGCCAAGCGTGCAGAGCAAGTCAAGGTCAGCTTATGTGTACCACAACAGACACATGTTGGTCACCAACAGGAGGGGTTTGACATGGGTTTCATGTGGACCATTTTGGACCAATGTGTTCATTGCATGGTTGCAGTCACTTCGTCATGTTTCTCTTGTGTTTCACATTTCCCCTGTTTTGTGAGGTCACAGGTGGCAGTTCGGAGAAGAAGGAAGAAAACAAAGTATCAATGGCCTACTCTGATAGCTGTTTTCATCTACTTTCATACAGTTTATCAACTCCAGAACTTGTTTTCGTTGGATAGGGTCATCATTGAGAGAGGGCTTGGAAACAGAATTTGGACACCACTGCGCAAGAGAGTCAATAGATCAGGGTCCTCAGGCAGAATCTGGGTTCTTGCAAGTGATGAAGAGAAGGATTGCCAAACCATGGGCCGAACCTCGAACATATCAAACAACTTCTTTGCCAATGCTCAGCGCAGGTGCAGACTCCAAGTGTGTTTTTCTTTCCAAGCATAGTAGGAGCTTTCGTCGAGTGCACAAAAATAAAGGTCAAGTTGAGGTCATTGTTGGTATATTCAGTCTTTTGTTTGGCATGTGAACGTATCCGGACGTATCCAGAGTAGAAAAGAGAGACGGTGTCGCTGTTGTTGCAAACTTCTGTCAAAAAAATGCTATTGGGGTCCATCATAGTCAAACATTGGCCTTTCTTTTATGGGAAGCGACATGTGTTCTTTCCAACCAAGTCCACGTTGACCCATTTTTCCAGCGTCGCGAGAGCGACGGTGTTCGCCCCACAGAAAAGACTGATGCGCTCTGCGACGTGTTTTGTGTTCCGTGTTCGGCGGCGCAGATCATCGACATGAGGAGAACAACAAACCATGATTCGGTATGTAAAACACTCCAGGGACTGGAAGATTTACGCCCTGGAAGATTCACATGGAACCTGAAAACCGCTGGGTTGTAGAGGAAGATAGCCTTCCATTTCGGTCCATTTCAAGTTTCATGTGGGTCAAACAACCCCTGGTGTACATCAACCCCTTTTCAACCACCTCTATGTAAATATGGAGAGTTTGGGAGTTGGTGTTTTGGGGAGATGAGGCGACGAGTCTCTCCGAGCGTCTCGGGTCGTTTCCCAGAGTTCCTCTGGACCATGGGTCGTTTCCTGGAGTCTCAGTTCGTACCTCGGACAATGGGTACAAGTACCTTGTTTTTATAGGTTCATGTCCCATTCTCTAATTCTAGGGTCACGTCCCATTTTCTAAGGTACTTTGAGTCCAGGGTCCAGGTATGGACAAATCAAAAAGAGGACACCGTCCAAGCATTCAGCATCCGCTCTCGGTTCGGACAGGAGAGTAAAACTGAACGCTCCCACCAGGCATGCCTTCAACTATCATACCTTGCGCATCCTGGTTTTGGCCAAGGCCGCAAGTAGCACGTGGAGATGGATGGATATATTGTTGAAGCATCAGGTAATTTCTGAAACAATGACTAATGATTTGACACTTGTTCCGGCTTTTGCATGCGAATTTGAGGCTCAAGTAAGCTTCACTGCTGCTGATGCCATCCCCACCGCTTCAGATGGGAGAGTGTGGTTTTCTTGATAAACTGGTGTTTGGCATGCCCTCCCAAGCCAGCCTTGTCTGCCATACCCAAATGATGGGCCCTTCCTTTGAATGCACTACTAGTAAACTGCAAGACAGCAAGCTCCTGCGAAAAGCTCCGTCGTTTGGTTCATTGGATGTACAAAGTCTGGGCAACTCTGTGACTTTGCGTTGTCATTGTTTTTTCTCCAACCAACTGGTCACTTTTCGTTTGGTCGCCTCCCGCTTTTGGGGGGGCGAAAAAGAACAGAACCACCCGGCCTCTCGCCCCCCCAAAAAGCAAGCAGTTGCCTCCATGCATGGCGAAACGGAAGTCTTGGAAGTCCTTTCAGTGGACTTTCCTGTTCCTTGGCGTATTACTCTTCGTCCTGAATTCGTCGGAATGAGACACCCAGCAGCTGCGCTGCGACGGAGAAAAGCTTTAGTTAGCAAGTTGAGCTCCTGTCCACTGCCACGGCATCGCATGCGAACATGAAACACTTTTGATGTCCTTTGATGTGTGTTGGTTTCTGTGTCAAGTTCGAGTGCGTAATTAATAGTGCCAACATCCTTGTGACTGAAGAGGAAAACCATCATGCATATCAATTCATATCATCATTTGGTATGGCGAATGAGCATGGACACTCAACAACTGATCGGAGCATGTCGATGCAGTAACAGTATTGTCGTCAGGATCACAAAAACCTGCTCACCAATTCCTTGTTCTACTTGTACGAAAGTCATGGTGAAGAAACTTGGCCATTGCAAAATAAACAATCACTTGACAGGTCACGAAAGCTAGCATGCTAGCTGAGTTCTTCTTTGCTTTAGCAATGTTGTGGTGGGAGGGGCTGCGTGCCTTAAAGATTGATATATCAAGCTAACCCCCCCCCCCCGCGGTTCAACTCCCAGCTGCGCCGTGTAGGGGGTTGGTTGAACGTGGTTGGTTGGGTGTAAACGGTGGCTTGGTGTAAAGTGTGCTGCTGCTGCTGCCGCTCTGCTGCTTGCTGCTGCCGCTGGTTGCCGCTTTTGTAGCTGCTGCTTTGCTACTTGTTGCGGCTGACGACGCCGCTGCTACTGCTGCTTGCTGCTTGCTGCTGCTGCTTGCTGCTTGCTGCCGGTGGTGCTTGCTGCCGGTGCTGCTGCGGCTTGATGCTGCGCTGCTGCTGCGTGGTGCTGCTGGCTGGCTGCTGGTTGGTGGTTGCTGCTGGCTGCAGGCGGCTGCTGCTGCTGCTGCTGCTGCTGCTGCTGCTGCTGCTGCTGCTGGCTGCTGCTTGCTGCATAGGACTTGTACTTCACCGTTACAAGTTGTTTACCCCTATTTCTAACCTAATGCATGCATAAGCGGGTGGTAAATTTACCCCCCAGGCTTGCTATAACCATACACCGGCTATTTCCTCAAGACACTCTATTCTTGATACCTTTTACCAGTGCTTATCCTACACTACGGACGCCCTAGTGTAT